TTACTAAAGTTGAACTAAATTATTACTTTTTTTTCCTATTTCCAGGATGTCCTCCTGGTTCGTATGGTTATGGCTGCCGTCAGGTGTGTGACTGTCTAAATAACTCCACATGTGATCACATGACTGGTACATGTTACTGCAGCCCAGGCTGGAAGGGAGCTCGCTGTGACCAAGGTGTGTTCCATCCTGTTGTCTGTAGTCAGTTCTCAGACCTGTTTTGGGGAATGGTTACTCTAATCAAATCACCTCGGTTGTCTAATTATTGAGAGTCGCCGCCTTTTGATTGAAGAACTACTTTGTCAAGTTTTATTTTTAAAAAATGGACTAATGTTCATTTCGAACAGACTAACTCTGGTTCTACATTTGCTCATCCTCCTGTCTGCAGCTGGTGTAGTGGTGGGCAGCCTCAACAGTTTGACCAGTGCAGCCATGCACGTGGACACCTACCAGATCGGAGCCATCGCAGGAATCATTGTCCTGGTGCTACTGGTGCTTTTCCTCCTCCTCCTTTTCATCATCTACAGGAAGAAGCAAAATGGAAAAGAGCCTACCATGCCAGCTGTGACCTACACTCCTGCTATGAGGGTCACTGCTGATTACACCATTGCAGGTACATTAAAGGTTGACCGGCTTCAAACTGCAAGGCATGTTAGGTTGGTCTTTCCAGGTATCAGTTGTTTCTTGAAAAAAAAAATTTTTTTCCTTAAATGTATTGCTTCTATAACAGCACTTAACCGGGGCTGCTAATCGCTTCCCACGGTGCTGAAAAGAGTAATTAATTGATTTTACAGGAAAAAGGGGATTTAATATTCCTCAAATGTAAAGGTTGCGTCCTTGCCATGGACAGACAATTTGTGAAGTGAAGACAAGATATTTTTTTCTCTTGACCACTCTAAAACATTTCTCTCTTCCCTTACCTACGGGAAGTGCCAAAATAAGATAACATTGTTGAATCTCAGAAATCAAAGGGTACTAACTAAATAAGAACAAATCATGGATGCAAATAAAAGTAAGAGGAAATTAGTTTTTATATCACTTCCTGCATGAGGCCCAATGTTGTTGAAAGTAAATATAAGAAGGTAAATCTACTGCACTTGTACACACACATGAGGATGTGCAGGGATGAAGAGGACTGCTATTAAGCAAACCCAATAAACACTTGTTTGTTGAGATTGAGATGCTTATAATATTGGGTTTCATGCTCTGAAAGCACTGACGAACTTTCTGGTTTCTTGTCACTATCTCATTTTTCAGATGCTCACCCACCAGCATGCGAGGCCCACCCCAGCAGCTATTTTACCAACCCCAGCTACCATACTCTGACTCAGTGCACCAGCTCTCCACACATTAACAATGGTCCATTTGGAAAGGTATGGAAGTGTACTTTGAGTCTATATAGAGGGTCAAATAGATGGCAAAGTAAGAATGCCATGAGAAATGTTTCTATTTATTAATTTTTATAATTATATATATTCCAACTGATGTTTGTCCTTTTCACTTTCATTTTTCAGGCCAAGAGCAGCCAGCTGTTTGTGAAGTTGAAGAATGTAGATCAGAGAAAAAGGGCTCCCCTAGCTGAGCACAACAGCACACTGCCTGCAGACTGGAAACAAGAAGACTGCTTCAATGAACTGGGTGAGACATATAATGCATTAAAGTGTAGTTAATGGAATTATTATACGTTGGTAACGTGGTGGAGAGGTTTATATGCCCCAGTGATCCTGCTGTGTTGTCCGGGCAATAGCTCCTGGTAGGGTCTTCCAAGGCAAAGTGGTCTCAGGGGATAGGCCAAACCAAGAGAGATTCACTGACCTTATATGACTTCGTCATAGAGAGTTGTCGCAATTCGCCCTGAAAAGGGAAAGCAGGGGGTTGTGTGCAATGTGAGCCGGGCGGCAGGCAAAGGTTGGGACAGACTGTCTCTAGGACATAGAATGTCACATGTCTGGCGGGGAAGGAACCGGAGCTGGTGTGGGAGCGGTACCAACTATAGATAGATTTGAGAGCACCTCCATGCATAACACTGGTTCTGGAACCAAACACCTGGAGAGGGCCCGGACTCTATCCATTTCCTGAGTTGTCAGGGTGAACGATGCCGGGCATACTCACAAACCCCGACCGAGCGCCGCTGTGTTGGAGCTTTCCACGTGCAATGAGAGGGTCGCCTCTATGCAAGTGCTAGTTGTTGTGAGGATGTCTCTGACTGTTGTTCGTGCTTTTGCAACAAACAGCAGTTCAGAGTACCCGGCCTTCTTGGAATCTGTGGTTGGCATTCTGGAAATGAGGACTGGGGACTCTATAGTTCTTTCAGGGGGCTTCAGCACTCTCGTGGGTAACAATGAATGGTGATTGGGAGGACCAAAGTGATGGTTTGATGTTGGACTTTTGCCCTAATCCTGGATTGGTCCTAACAAACACCATGTGCAAGCATAGGACGGTGTACTTGGTACCAGAACACCCTAGGCCAAAGATTTATGATCGACTTTATGGTCGTATTATCAGATCTGCAGCTGCATGTCTTGAACTCTTATGTGGAGAGAGGAACAGAGCTGTCAACTGATCACCACCTGGTGGTGACAGACTTGGTACACCCAGGCATGTAGCAAAGATGGACTGAGAATGTCTGGCTGAGGCCCCTGTCTTCAACTCCCACCTCCAGAAGTCCATACTGGGGGAGACTGGGGACATGGAATCCGAGTGGGCTATGTTCATATTCGCCATTGTGGAAACAGCTGGTAGGAGCTGTGGAAGGGGGATCCAGGAGGAGCAATGTGGATTCTGTCCTGGTAGTTGAACAGTGGACCAGCTCTTTGCCGTTGCAGGTCAGTTTGCCAATCCAGTCTACAGTCTACATTGTGGACTTGGAGAAGGCTTATGACCGTGACCGGAGTCTTGTGTGGGTACTGTGGGAGCACAGTGTACCAGGGTCGGAGCTACGAGCCATTCGGTCCTTCTATGACCAAAGTGAGAGCTTTGTCCCTATACCCAACATAAAGTCCATCACGTTTCCAGCACGTGTTGTCCTCCATCAGGGTTTTAACACTGCAAGCAATCATGTACGGTATGTGATTTCATGGACAGGATTTCAAACCGGTTTGTGGACCTCATAATTTCGTCTCTGCTCTTTGCAGATGATGTGGTTCGTGATTTTCGGCAGACACTGGGGCGGTTTGCAGCCGAGTGCACTTATATTTCTGTTTAAACAGATGACCCATTTCTCTGGAGGCTCTTATTCCTGTCTTATGTATCAGTATATATACTGTATATATTGTATGAGTATCTAAATATTCGGGTTTAAAATAAAGCTGAAATTAATTGTCAAAAAATTGCTGAAAATTAAGAAATGGGAGACTACCCGTCTGAAAAATGTTGAAGCCCGAAAGCATTTAAACTGCACTGCTGAAAACCCTTCTAGTTGAAATGTTTAACTGTGGTGTCTGTAGCTGAAATTATGAGGAAGAAGAAGGCTTTGAAAGTTGAAGAAGTATAACAGGATTTGAAGATTTTCTCCATAGAGATCCCATTCAACAGAAAATTGCAAAAAGCTTAATTCAAAAAGTTTAAAGATTACAAATATGAAAAGTCAAAGCACCCCTGTCCTGAAAGAGCTGAACATTTTGATATTTGAACAGTTTCTGTAGCTTAAAAAAATGTCAGCAGTAGTGATATTTGTAGTAATAGTAGTAGAAGTTGTAGTTGTAGTAGAAGTAGCATTAGTAGTAGAAGTATTAGTATTTAGAAGAAGTAGTAGTATCAGTAGTAGTAGTAATAGCTGTAGTAGTGGTCGAAGTATTTAATATATCAGTAGTAGTAGTAGTAGTAGTAAAAGTAATTTCAGTATTTGAAGTAGCAGTAATAGCAGTAGTAGTAGTACTAGTAGCAGTCGTACTAATAGCTGTAGTAGTGTTAGTACTGGTAGTAGCATGAATAGCAGTAGTAGCAGTTGTAGTGGTAGTAATAGCAGTAGTGGGAGTAATAATATTGATGGTAGCAGTAATAACACTAGTAATAGTAGCAACATCAAAAGTTGTAGTAGAAGTAGTAGCAGCAGTAGTAGTAGTAATACTAGAAACATTAGCAGCAGTAGTAGTTGTCGCAGTATTAGTAAGAGCATTCATTATTTCAACAAAAAAGCCTAATTTTGAGCTTAATGTTTACATACAGTTAATCCATGGGGCTTTTATTTTGAAATGGGGTGTGGGGGGAGAAGGGGAGAGGAGATGGACTCATATTGTTAGATTAACACAAACAGGTTATTAAATGACAGGCTTCATCACAAGCATTTCAGTTAGAATTCACTCTGTGGGGCTTTTATTTTGAAATGGGGTGTGGGGGGGGAGAAGAGATGGACTCATAATGTTAGATAAACACAAACAGGTTATTAAATGCCAGGCTTCGTCATAAGCATTTCAGTTAGAATTCATTCTGTGGGGCTTTTATTTTAAAATGGGGTGTGTGTGGGGGGGGGATCCTCTAAAGATCTCTAAGAACCTGAATGACTGTATGAGAGAGAGACACAGAGAGAGAGAGAGAGAGAGAGAGAGAGAGAGAGAGAGAGAGAGAGAGAGACACACACAGAGAGAGAGGAGTGCCTGCGAGTCTGTGTGTTTATCAACATCACTAATTAGCTTAATCAGAAACACCTGTGTCCTTGCAGCCTTTTCATGGAGATTAAACAGGGAAACACCTCTCAAACAAATCCAGAGAGAGCGAGAGAGCGAGAGAGAGAGAGAGAGCCTGTGTGCGTGTGTAACTGGTTGCCATGGTGACGACGCACCTGGTGTTAGAGGCAGACTGATTAAGAAACATTACAGTAAACAGTGATTTTGAACAAAGCCCCTTTTAACAAAAAGCAGGAGTCTGAGTGCCAAAATATGGATACCGTGAGAAAGATAAGACTCTGCCGAACGCGGTAATGTGTTTTTTATGTTTGTGGTGTTAAAAATGTGAGCTCCAGAGCAATAGACAAAACTGGTAACGTCTGCTTTCTTTGAGAAATGAGTGGTCAGATTTAACATGGAGTCTAATGGAGCAGTTCGTTGGAGTTCATGTCGCTCTGCGGCTCCTTGAGCCAAATGTGTAAATCTGTGGGATTCCACAGACATCTGTCTACGACAAGGACAAGATTAGCTACTTCTCCATCAAAAATGATGCATGAAGAGTGAAGATTGTGGCCACAGTGGCAAAAGACAAATGTTTTTTTCACAAGAATCTCAAGCTGCTCTTCACTCAAGCGGTGACATCACGCACTCTAAGCTGCGCAATACACACCCATTATAAAGTCAGAAAAGGGCTGAAAAAATCATAAAAGTTAAATTGCTGCAGTTCAAAAAGTGTAAAAGATATCAAAAAGCTGAATAATTCTGCAATAGCTCAGGGTTTTCTCAACATTTTAAAGTTGAAATGGTGCTTGTAGCTGAACGTATGAGGAAGTAGAAGGATTTGAAAGTTGAAGAAGTTTAAGAGGATTTGAAAATTTTCTCCATAGACATCCCATTCAAAATAAAAATTGCAAAAAGCTTAATAATTCAAAAAGTTTAAAGATTAGAAATATGAAAAGTCATACCAGACATGAGCTGAAAGAGCTGAACATTTTGATAGTTGAACGGTTTCTGTAGCTTAAAAAATGTGGAAGGAGTTAAGTAGCAAAAAGTGTACTGAAGAAATATAAAATAAGGAGGAATAAAGATTCGAAGAACAATAGTTGGAATGCTTAACAGTGACCGAGGTATCTGTTCCACTTCAGACTATATCTATCCACCTGATCGTTAATCCTAAAAGACAAATTTTCATAAGCCACTACCATTGTGGATGGGGATGTTTAGTTATGTTCTTAATCGAGAACATACAGTTCTTAATCGATCTAAGGAACACGTGCTTTAGCCTAATCTTGCCATAATAGTCTTCCACATAACTTTTGCTTCCACCATTCACTGACCTTTCTAATTTCTATTTTTCCTCATTCCAGGAGCCTACGGAGTTGACAGGACATACATGGGGAAATCTTTACGAGGTAGGTCCTGTAAATACACATTACATACATATGAACTACTACAAATAAATGAACTGCTGGAATTCACATCTCACTGGCTCCTCTGTCTATGTCATCCAGATCTGAAGGGCACACACTATCATGCCAGCTCCTGCTCCCTCAACAGCTCTGAAAACCCATATGCTACAATAAAGGACCCTCCCACGCTGACAGCCAAAAACACGGAGTGTGGTTACGTAGAAATGAAGTCACCGGCCAGACGGGATTCACCATACGCTGAGATCAGCAACAACAGCCCCACCAACAACCGCAATGTCTATGAAGTTGGTGAGTAGCTTATGTTTACATTTGTTGTTGTCATTGTCAGTGCTTTATAGAGTATGCTTCAATTGCATTAACTACATCAGAATCAGAATCAGAACCGTTTATTTTGCCAGAGTATGTTGCACATACAAGGAATTTTTCATGGTGGATGTGCATAACATTACATAGTAGTCAAGTCAACATAATATATTTAGTTCAATGCCTTGAATCACAAATTTGCCTCAAGGGGCTTCACAATCTGTATAGCCTCCAACACCCTCTGTCCTAAGATTCTCGAATCAGATAAGGAAGAACTCCTGAAACCTCTTGGTTTTAGTCTGTCTCATTTTAATTCATTTCCAGGTTGCAAAATCTGAATCCTACCACTGTGTTCACCATGGATGTATAAAGAGAACTGGATACAGCGTTGAAGGCGGGTTCCCGTTCATTCCTATGAAAACTTCTCAGCGTATGAAGCAAAAAAAGTTCAACAAAAAAATTATCGGGATCTTTCAGCAATCTTCCACATCCATGGGCCCACTAGCGTTTCCTTTTAGCCCCGCCTCCAACTTCGGTCTCGGTCTCATTAACATGAAGGAAAGAAAATAATTCTGGATTCAGCTATTAGTGCATTTTGGGACCTATATTTAAATAAGGGTTATTGAAGTGTTCGTACTTGTAAGTTGATTCACCTCAACTTAAACTCCGAGTTCAGTGCTACAAAATCTTTCAAAATGTCGGTCTGTTCCTTTAAGGTTACAGCGTTGTACTTTATTCTTCCTGCGACTGTCAACTTGCCTGTCTTTGATTTCAGAGTCTGTAAGTACCATCCAGCTGACTGGAGACAGCAATGGCGACATACAGTTTGGTCAAGATCCATACGATCTACCAAAAAACAGTCACATCCCCTGTCACTACGACCTCCTGCCAGCCAGAGAGAGTCCATCCCCAGAGCACAAGGAGCTGGACAGTAAATGATGCCACAGAGACTCAGTACAGAGACCAGGTCTCACCTAAAGTCTGCAGCTTCGGCACTAGCTGTTCCACTTTATACCCACAACATGCTTTCACTTGTTTTCTTGCTGTTATACTTTGACACTATCGTTGTAATTATGTATCATGGCTTCATTCTGAACAAAGTGGGTATTTAAAGTTCTGAGGTTAGTTTTGAGGTATAGCTGTTATTTTTTACAGCCATTTGTGTACTGCGATGAAGTCTTCGTAGGTCATTCCACATGCCTGGGGGGTACAGTCTGTAAGTATACTTTGAACGAAGCTGTTCATATGAAGTGTGACCACTGCTCACGGCAAAACCTACCTGTTCCAAATGAGCACACATAAAGGCAGACTAAAAAAGCCTGCTGCCACAGCCTCCTTCTGACTGCCTCACCGATCTATCTCCAAGAACTCAGTGTCTTTTGAGTGTCTTGTAGTCTCAATGCGACATATCATACAAATGGCGATACCACATTCAAATGGCGGCGAAGCATTTGTGGTGTTACACCCTTAAAAAGTGACCTTTATATACCTCTGCACACCTGGTTACACCTTCCTTCTTAAAATAGGGCGTGATTGTTGAATTATTCCACAAGGTGGTTTCAGATATGTTTCAAGTATACTGAAGCCTATATTGTTTGCATATAACATTCAATACCAATCAAATCTCTATTTTTGTAACAACAGTATTAGCAATTATATTAGCAATATTAGCAATTATATCAAAATATTGGATGTATGTTAATGGGTTTTTTTCATGAAGAAGAATAGTTGTCAAGCTGCTGACAATGTTTTTTAAGTTGGAATAGTCAATGTTGGATTAGCTAACCAAAGGTACAAGTTCTATTTAAATGCTATTTTAATCAGCGTAGTTCAAAGCTCTCTAATTGTTTCATCCAAGAGATTCCGAGCTGAGCCTCTTCTCATTGTAACAGTACTTGATTTTAAGTAATTTTCCACTAATTACAGATTCTTGTAGTTAATCAACACACCATACAGGATAATATAGTAGATAGAAGACAGTTATTTCATTTAATCTTAAACAAAACAAAAACAATAATTCATGGATACTATAATTTATGAATATCATATTAGTCGTACATAATGCTCAGTGACCATTATCACCACTCAGTCCATATTACACATATTAATTATTTGTCCTGTTGATTGACTTATCCGTCTTGCTAAGCCATTGCAGTTCATTTAAAATAACCATCAACGGTGTGGGTAGTATTACATCAGGACAGCGGAACCAAGGCTGGATTTGAATCTGAGCAACTCTCCTTAGGCCTCACGTTCAGTGAGATCCTTACCCCCTTTCCACCTTGCATTAAAATGTCTCGTATCCAGATTGTACCTAGATATGATGTGATCTGATTACATTTACACCTGGTATTAATGTGTCTCCAGTGTCCGCATTGAGATCCCAATCTGTCCATCTCAAACAACCGAACGTCACATCCTCCGATCACTCGCATTGCAGTCACGACCAGTTGTAGCTATTCTCCATTTGCTTAGCCATTGCTTCATACATGGCTTGATTGTGATATGAATTGGCAAGTTTTGCTTTTATTCTTTCGTTGGACCAAATTGAAAGCAGACACTTGGTCTCATCTTGACTCAATCCAAAAATGTCTTGAATATCCATTTTGACAAGTAGTAGTTCAGCTCGCCAACTGGCCAGTGGCTGCAATTAAGTCACGTGCAATTAAGTTTTTCTATTCACATTTTTGTATGTGGATTGAAAACACAATTGCATTTACACTTGTGGTCACAATGCGTCCCTGACCACCACCAATGGTGGTTTGGCCGATCAGATCACGATCTGTCCTCAATATGTTTTGGGTGCCTTTAAACCTGTACTTTTATGAGGTCAAGCACTATCCAAACAGAATCTAATCACTCAAAAAGCATTTTAATTCAAGGTGTAAGGGGGTCCTTGTGTTAACATGTGATCGGTGTTTGGATATCTTATCTGTATCAGGTCAAATATATTGATGCAGGTGAAATTGCAAGCACATCGCAATCTGATTGGTTTTGAATTGGCCAGGCCACACCTGGAGGTCATCTGACTTACACATTGATCAAATCTCCTGCACCAGCTGTAGGAGACTTTTGGGGGACCACTATAATGAGCAATGTGTGAATCCTGTGACCAACTTTCTTCCAGTATAAGTAATGTTAGCCTAGTTAAAAAAAGCCTGCAGTAGCCTTCATCTGTCTCTCTCTGTCCCGTTATCCTTGCCTTGCATGTAGCTGTCCTGCATAGAGTATTCATCATTGCTTCAATCAAGGGTGCCTACCTAATTTGGATTTCAACATCCAATCACAATGTTGGCCGAATCGAGATAGAATCAAAATAACAAAAACATCCATAAGAGTCCCAAATGTTCAAGCACGGTATTTACAGCATCTACTTTAAGAATTTTCTCAAAATAAATGCTTCAAATTGGTATTTGTAAAATGTGTCTGACAGAATATAGGCTACGGTCTCTGCCACTGACTGAATTGGTTATTTGTGCCACATATACTGTAAAATGCTCATCACAATTTCCTATATTCTGTTATTTATCCCGTTTAATTTGATAATATTGAAAATAATGCATTACGTTTTGTTTGTTGGCTCATTGTGTTGATGTACTGAATAATCTTATTTTATGCATGAATGGAGTGTTATTACCTAGCCACTAGATTTCGCTAGATGGCAGCAAATGTAGGATTACAACCAATGAGTTGATCAGCCCAGTATTGTTCAGGAAGCATTTGAAGCCCTTTCCCACTGCAGGGACCCATAACCCGGGCTCTGTATTGACTAACCTGAACGTTTAAGAACCTTGTGAGCTTTGGTACACAGTTGTTCCTTTTGTCTCCACTGCATTTTACAAACTGCAATGTTTTGGTTAGAAAGCATCAAAAATGCAAAAGAGAGACCCACTTCATCATTATTGTGTGACAGCTTGGACAGCTTCAATATCGACTTTCTCTCTTGTTTATATGAAGATGAAGAATCCATGGCACTGCTAGGGCCCACACAAGCTGGTCCAAAATAGGGTCCAGTGCATTGAAGTACTTTGTCTTTTTTTGTTTGCTCCCCTGTGCACATTTGATCCTGTTTTATTATTTAGATGTTTCCCTGCACTGTTTGGCTGTGTATGTCTGGACATCATTTTGTTTTCAACTGCTGACTCTTTCTCCTTCTAAATTCCCCCCTTTTGCCAAATACTATTGAGGGCCTGGGCCTGTTGGTTTGGTACTTTTTTTTTGGTTGTCCAACTCCATACAGTAAAACCATGGTGGTTATGACACATGGGCTTGATAACACCTGGAAGTTCCTGAACCTTGCATTTAGTGTCCTCTCCTGAGCAATGCCTACATTTAGTTCCACAACCAACCAACAAAACCTTTGACAGTGGCTACACTTAAAGTAGCGTTACTTTATGTTTTTTGTGTTAACACATGTTAACTATCTTACATCACTGACTGAAAGTACCTGGAACTTTGTATCACCTGAGCAGAGCCCAAATTTACTTCCAAGGACTAGTCCCCAAATCATTCCATCTTCATCTTGTCTCATCGTACCACTTCAGTAAACATCTTCATACCACCAAATGAACCCAGTCAACTGAACAATAAGACTAAACACAGTTGCTGATCTCAATTACTGTGTAATTTAAAGGGCTTATGAAACGCTCTAATGAAATGCAAGCTTAAGCTGGACTTTGGCTTTTTGAAAGGATAATAGCAACAGGACCAGTTATTTTTATTAATCTATAATGAGCATTGACATCTATTGCAGGAAATGGTTTCTTTTGAATGATTGTTTCTTTCTCTGTGTTTCCTATATTTTGAATTGCCTAAATAGCAAACAGTCTTAAGCTGTTCTGAGTTGATTTGAAATGTTTGTAATATATTGTACATAGTTTGATCAGTTCTGTAAAAATATTCACATCACCCAGCGATGTCCGAAATAAAAACTGGAACAAATGTGGCTTTTGGTTTAGCACTGACTCTTATCCTCTACAGATACTGCATTTCTTTTGAAATACTTCCTTGTGTGGAGATTATTGTGTATTAAAATCACCACTAAAGTGATTGCTCTGAAAGGAATGCTTGAGATTTACCCAAGATTAACAAATACATCAAATTGATTTGTTTCTCTTTAATCGTCAAACTCTAGAAGAAGAATCATTTACACACAAGCTGCCAATGCACACTTGTTCCCCAACAAGGTGACAAGGATTTAGCCACAACCACAATGGATTCTGTTTTGTTATGTTTTTGGGGATTTTTATTTTTCATTATAGTGCTATTTGTGCAAATGCTTTAGAATAAATTGACATAATATGATGAAATTATTTGGCATCTTGTGGAATTTGTGAGCACTTTATTTTGACATTTGGAGTTTTGATACTGTTGTTAATAGCGTATAAAGCCCTGAGAGGCCTCCCCCCAACTTATCTATCAGATCTCTTCTGCCCCATCCCTGGTGGTGAAAGAGCCTTTGCAGTCAGTGCTCCTATGTGGAATGATGTACCTGAGGAGATCAGGACTTCAAACTCTGTCTCATCTGTAAAATCACTTTTAAAAAGAGAGGGACTAGATTAGATGCACACAGGGAACTCTTCAGTACGCTTTAGTATTAGATTTAACCGTAGTTTCAAGGAATTTAGCAGTGAGATGTGAGCGGTAGGTGTCAGATCATTAGTGAACATTTTCCAGTGTCATGTGGGCTATTACTGCAAAGAAAAAAGAAACAAGGGGAAATATTGGGGCGGTGGCTATTTAGCGGTGCAAAACCAAACATTTTTACATAAATATGTGCAACAGGAATATATAAAATACACCTAAATGAAGATTGAGGAGATTGATTTAAAAATGAATACCACATTACTTGAAGCGGCTAACCAGTCCATTTCTAAAGGAAGAATGAAAGCGAAAAGCGGTCAGGTGAGTGTGGTAAAGTAGTGAAAGAAAGGAATAAAGCTCTCAGGATATTATGAAGAAGTCCTACATTCCGCAATTCAATTAAATATAATCAAACACAAGCTAAGGATAGGAAAATCAGACAAAATTGAAAACAGCAAAGCTGGCAGACCTTTTGTGGTTCAATTGGTGGATCAACAGCTGTGGGAGATGCTTGGAACTTGATTAAGAACATTAGAGGAATCAGAGGGGAATGGCAGTATCCAGTTCTGAAGATTGGGGAGGAAGCAGCAGTGTCTGACGAAGAGAAGGCAGAGATGATAGCAAATGCAATTACTCAAATCCATAGTCCTGATCACTTGACTGAGTTGATGAGGTGTTCCTGAACCCAGCAGACTCTCCTCACAGTATGAGAAACCATCAGAGGAGAAGACGCACCAGGATGACCTCTGACCTGAGAGCTCCATCAGCATCTGACACAACTTGAGTCTACAAGAAACCCTTTACTGATGGATCACATGATCTGGACAGTTTACACACAAGTTATGGCTTTGCTACATTTTGCATTATGTATACCCTATGTTTCAATGTCAGTCTATGAATAAAGAGCTTTATAATCAGCAGGGTTTTTGTCATTTTTATATTTACAATGAATGATCTTGTGGTATAAGACAAATATAACGTGTTATTTCACAAAGGTTTTATGTCGTTACTCTGTTTAAACAGGTGATATGTATAATATATATAAATAACTATATTTTATGTAAAAATACAGTTGTGTGAAAAAGTGTTTGCCCCCTTCCTGATTTCTTATTTTTTTGCATGTTTGTCACACTTAAATGTTTCAGATCATCAAACAAATTTAAATATTAGACAAAGATAACACAAGTAAACACCAAATGCAGTTTTTAAATGAAGGTTTTTATTATTAAGGGGTGAAAAAAATCCAAACCTACATGGCCCTGTGTGAAAAAGTGATTGCCCCCTTAACCTAATAACTGGTTGGGCCACCCTTAGCAGCAACAACTGCAATCAAGCATTTGCGATAACTGGCAATGAGTCTTTTACAGAGCTGTAGAGGAATTTTGGCCCACTCATCTTTGCAGAATTGTTGTAATTCAGCCACATTGGAGGGTTTTCGAGCATGAACCGCCTTTTTAAGGTCATGCCACAGCATCTCAATCGGATTCAGGTCGGGACTTTGACTAGGCCACTCCAAAGTCTTCATTTTGTTTTTCTTAAGCCATTCAGAGGTGGACTTGCTGGTGTGTTTTGGATAGTTGTCCTGCTGCAGAACCCAAGTGCGCTTCAGCTTGAGGTCACGAACAGATGGCCGGACATTCTCCTTCAGGATTTTTTGGTAGACAGCAGAATTCATGGTTCCATTTACCACAGCAAGTCTTCCAGGTCCTGAAGCAGCAAAACAGCCCCAGACCATCACACTACCACCACCATATTTTACTGTTGGTATGATGTTCCTTTTCTGAAATGCCGTGTTTCTTTTACGCCAGATGTAATGGGACATACACTTTCCAAAAAGTTCAACTTTTGTCTCGTCAGTCCACAGAGTATTTTCCCAAAAGTCTTGGGGATCATCAAGATGTTTTCTGGCAAAACTGAGATGAGCCTTTATGTTCTTTTTGCTCAGCAGTGGTTTTCGTCTTGGAACTCTGCCATGCAGGCCATTTTTGCCCAGTCTCTTTCTTATGGTGGAGTCATGAACACTGACCTTAATTGAGGCAAGTGAGGCCTGCAGTTCTTTGGATGTTGTTCTGGGGTCTTTTGTGACCTCTTGGATGAGTCGTCGCTGCGCTCTTGGGGTAATTTTGGTCGGCCGGCCACTCCTGGGAAGGTTCACCACTGTTCCATGTTTTCGCCATTTGTGGATAATGGCTCTCACTGTGGTTCGCTGGAGTCCCAAAGCTTTAGAAATGGCTTTGTAACCTTTTCCAGACTGATAGATCTCAATTACTTTGTTTCTCATTTGTTCCTGAATTTCTTTGGATCGCAGCATGATGTCTAGCTTTTGAGGATCTTTTGGTCTACCTCACTTTGTCAGGCAGGTCCTATTTAAGTGATTTCTTGATTGAGAACAGGTGTGGCAGTAATCAGGCCTGGGTGTGGCTAGAGAAATTGAACTCAGCTTTCCAAAGAT